ATGATTACGGCAATGGTGATGATGGTGTCATAGTGTCGATGGTGTCAGGAGTCGTAGATGCTGTTCCAGCTATCAGTCATTAACTAGCAGTGGTTAAGGGACCTGTGGTACTCACCAATTGGGGCTTGCGGGGGTTGAGCTCTGGCTCTTTGGTCCCGTCTCTCAACTGTCAATCAACTGGAGCACAGATTCCTGAGCCTGTGATGGTCGAGGAGGTGAGGAAGTGTTGCTCTTATTGCCCTCTTGCTATCTTCTCACCATGTCATGAGTGATGATTGGATATCGAGGCCCAGGGGTGTTTATGCTATCATTAGAAGAGGGATTACAGACAAAGGGAGGCAAGGAGAACAACGCTAGTAAGAGTATATTTGGTATGGAGGAGGAGAAGGAAGAGGAGAATGGTGGGAAAGAGGAACTGAATGACGGAAAGAAGTGAGGGAAAAGAGTGAAGGGATGATGGTTGTAGTGAGAAAGAAGGGACAGGAAGGAGGGTTGGAGTGACAGAGAGACTAAAGGAGGTACGAATGGAGAATGAGTGTTGAACGGATGGTTGGATTGAGAGAGGAGATACCTGTTGATACCTGGTTGATGGGGTTCTGGAAGTTCTTCTACTCCCCAAGAGATGGGACATGAGGGGTTGATGAGGTTCTGGGAGTTCTTCTACTCCCCAAGAGATGGGATGAGAGATGGGACAAGAGTAAGCCGTCTCAGTGGTTGGTAGTGGTGTTGGTGGTGAAGGGACCAGTCTCAGTGGTACAGTAGTAGTGTTGGTGACTGAGATGGTAGCAGTGGTACTGGGGTGGCAATAGGGACGATATGTATACGTTGACTGAGATTGCAGAGAGATGAAAATATCATTATAAATTGAAATACTTCATTCGTAAATGTTTGTACATTTGCAATGGCGTTAGTTTACACAAATTTAGGGGACTTGGAACTCTAATCTTGGCCAATTCTCCCTCCCATTTCAGCCTCCCATTACAAAGGTACCATCCGCCCCCACCCGGCACAGCCCTGCCCCCATCCCCTTACCCTCCTGGGTAGGTAGGGGAAGAGGGGGGAAGGAGACTGCATGGGGCTGCCCAGAAGAAGAGGAAGTTTACGTGAGGGATAAAGGGCCGGGTGGGTAATTTGATGATACCGAGATAGGGATGCTGGCTATCAGCATCAATTCAGGAGGCATATCCAGCGTCAGGCGGGTTGACAGCTGTGTTTTATCACGGACTGATGTGCGGGGAGCCTGCACTCATTCGTGACTCTCTCTCTATCTCTCTCTCTCTCTTTTAAAGAGAGAGAGAGAGAGAGAGAGAGAGAGAGAGAGAGAGAGAGAGAGAGAGAGAGAGAGAGAGAGAGAGAGAGAGAGAGAGAGAGAGAGAGAGAGAGAGAGAGAGAGAGAGAGAGAGAGTCTCCTGTTGATCTTTTAAAAAATAATAATAATAAATCCATCTCTTTCCCAACTTTTCGAGTTTTTTTTTCCTTCTTTGCCCGTTTTACTGACCACCACAACACTATCCTTCTTTCTCGTTCCTTATCTACTGTTCCAACTACTTATTTTGTTTCGTTTCCGTGCTTCAGTTCTTCTTAATTTTCTCTTTGAATGTAATTTGTTTTTCTTTCTCTCTGTCTTATTACCTTCCCTTCTACGACCAGGTCCTCTTCCATGCTCTTTGTCGCTCTCCTCTTTCCCTCTTTCCATAACCATGTGCGTCTGATGCACACAGGTGGCAGGGCAGCCATAACGTAACCTACAAAGCAAGGGACTCAGGCAACAACTATTGTGTATCTATTCACTTCGTCAGATAGAGTGAGTCTATTAGAGACTTAGAACATCTGTTTGGAGGACGTGCGACCAGCTTTCACCAGCTGGAGTCTCAGGACGGGTGACAAAGTTCGGTTAGACAGGTGGAGGTGACAGATGGAGGTACTAATCGGAGTTTGAAATTCATGTTACTTAATTGTGTTAGCAGTTGTTGCGGGTGTTGGCGGGAGATGGCGTGACTGGTGATAGTGAGAGTTGTATTAGACGGCCACGGGGACAGTCGGTGATGATGACAGGTGTGGGAGACAGGTTATGGTGAATGGTTGCGACCAGTGATAGCTATAAATGGTTATGATTGGAGGAGAGCGATTATGGTGACAGGTTGGGGGGGATGATTGGTGGAGACAGATGGTGAGTACTGGCAGCGATTAATGATAACAGATTTTGGAGGAGAGAAGTGGTGGTGGGGGGGATATCAGCTGGAGGCAACAGGTGTTGACGGGAATATATATCAACCAATACCTACTGCTGCCTGACTATCATGCAGTGCTCTACAGTATTCAGATTTCTGTTTTTAGCATTGAAAAATAGCTCCATTGGTTGCAATTAAGTAATGATTGATTGAACTTCGTACAACTAAAAAGCTCGTAAAATTGTTTTAATAAAATCACTCAAATCCACAATTATAAGGTGTATTTTGGGAGAAATTAACTTTAGTACTGACTGAGATACTTTTAAGGTAACTTGCAACATGTATAACCATAGACATTAGCAATAAATCCTTAGAACGTGCAATAACGATCATATCCAGAAACCTCAGCAAATAATGCAGAAACACCGACCTCCAATTATATTTGGCCCTGGTGAGTCGCCATTTTAACGACGATGCACTGTACCCCTCACTCTTATACAGTGAACATCGATTCCCAAGAGAATCGGGAATTTGGTCATACCAAAGCCCAATTTGGTATGACCAAACTGATCTCTGGTACTCGGGGCCAAAGGAGTTAACGGAACTCGGCCTGCAATACCTATAGGAGCAGAGGGCAAGGGTACACCTCATCCATGCCTTCAGGTGAATGAGGGAAATAAACAGTATAGATTATAAGAGATTAATGAGTTGCACTGGGAGGGTGGAATGGGCAAGTGGGAATGAGTACAATAGGCTAGTACATGATATAAAAGTACGATTGACACATATATACATGTATAACAATACATGTATGATTATTATATACAACAGCGTAAAATTATCTAGTACAACAATGTTAATGTTACTATAAAAGAGGTAGATAATCCACCTCTTTGACATTACTTAAAAAGTGTTTACAGAGCTTTACTAGAAATAGATCATCCCATTCAACTTACATAGCATTAATTAATCTAGTTATATTACAAATAAGCCTCGTTTTCTAAATTTTATTGACGCGACAAGAATTGATACATAATCCCCTTCTTTTTTGCTTAATATTTCTTAGTAGCTTCAAAAATAATATATAATCTCTCTCCCCTTACTTAACCTTCAATATATGTAACATTTAATATAAGTACAAGCGATGATAAAACGAATCAGAACACTGTAATTGCATTCTTCAGCTCTGAAGGGATATACAAATTAAACGCTCTTCAGCATTTTAATATAGTTCGTGTTTTTAGATGGTTGTTAAAGTAACTAAAGAACCATGGCAAGGTTTTGACCGTGATTGAATGTTTCCTCACAAGATGATCTGGGCTTTGTGCAAGTGATCGGGGTTAAGCTGATTTGATGTTCTTGTCAGGGCGATGATTGATTTGTGTTCTTGACCCGAGTGTTCGTCATAAGATATGCACGAGAGGATCTTCCAAATGTTTTTGAAAGAGTGTTGTAGGATGTTACTGATCGCGTGTTCTGAACGGTGGGTGTTGAAGGGCGTGCTTGTGGCGTGGAGTTGATAACTGCTTGATAAGACTTACTCACAGTCCACTACGGGCTCACCATAGCCCGTGCTACTTGGAACTTTTTGTTCCAGGTAGCGAATCTTAAACAACAACAACAACAGACTTACTCTGTATGGTTATCTTGAGGTTATCTTGAGGTTATCTTGAGATGATTTCGGGGCTTTTTTATTGTCCCCGCGGCCCGGTCCTCGACCAGGCCTCCACCCCCAGAAAGCAGCCCGTGACAGCTGACTAACACCCAGGTACCTATTTTACTGCTAGGTAACAGGGGCATAGGGGCATGAAAGAAACTCTGCCCATTGTTTCTCGCCGGCGCCTGATATCGAACCTGGGGCCACAGGATCACAAGTCCCGCGTGCTGTCCGCTCGGCCGACCGGCTCCCCCGGTCCCTTACGGTGGTCATAAGACGTGTAGTTAGTGCCAGAGCGAAGTCTTTATTTCGTAACAAAATAGCTAACGAGAGGTCAAGCTACATAATTATTCAACCTGATAATGTTGCTTGACTGCATTATTGTGACAATGTCAATTTGTCGACATTTATCCAATAATGAAAATGTAAACTTTTAACCTCAATTTGTAAACCTGACAATGTTAAAAACGGGCATTAAACTGACAGTATTAATAGGTTACAAACACGATGTGATAATTTGTTGAGTAATTGTTATTAATAATCGATTAATTTTAACAATTTGCTTGATTAATTTGACAGTGCTCTCCCGACCATAAAACCATGAACGTCAGACTGATCAGCTAATCCCTATGGCTTGACAGCCGTTCAAATCCAATAGCAGAAGCTTAATAGTCCGTCTTGACAACACGAGTTAGACACCACATGCTTTCAGGTTTGCCTTGCCCGCGTGGGCTGTCAAACCCACTCTCTCTCGCCTCCTTGACGGCACTCGGATTAAAACCGCTCCAAATGAGTTGCCTTTTGCGTGAGTCCCGGATAAGATATATTATGTAAATGTTGGCAGACTGCTTGGTCTGAATATGAAGAGGAGGCTTCATTAGCAACAGTTAGTTTATATTCCATCTCGCTCTCTCTCTCTCTCTCTCTCTCTCTCTCTCTCTCTCTCTCTCTCTCTCTCTCTCTCTCTCTCTCTCTCAAAAGTAAGCTCTCTTCTTTGACCTCCTTCTCTTCCTTCCACCTCACTCTTCAACATCAGTTCATCCAACTTAAAAATTAACGTGTATTTACATGCGCAATGTGAGGCCTGGTTTAACGACTGCAAATAAGACTCGTTTAATATACGTGTTGACATCTCGGTGGTGACGGGAGCCATGTATCAACCACCATTAGTAATGGGAACACAAGCACCACTGGCAACAGATCCATCAACACAATCACCATTATCCACAGAAGATCCATCAACACAATCACCATTATCCACAGAAGATCCATCAACACAATCACCATTATCCACAGAAGATCCACCAACACAATCACCATTATCCACAGAAGATCCATCAACACAATCACCATTATCCACAGAAGATCCATCAACACAATCACCATTATCCACAGAAGATCCATCAACACAATCACCATTATCCACAGAAGATCCATCAACACAATCACCATTATCCACAGAAGATCCATCAACACAATCACCATTATCCACAGAAGATCCATCAACACAATCACCATTATCCACAGAAGATCCACCAACACAAACACCACCACCAACTGATCCACTGCCTAAGCACTACTACTAACACGCATTTGATCACACAGGGACGTTAGAAAGAACTTTTTTCAATGTCAGAGTAGTTAATAGGTGGAATGCATTAGGTAGTGATGTGGTGGAGGCTGACTCCATACACAGTTATAAATGTAGATTTGATAGAGCCCAGTAGGCTCAGGAATCTGTACATAAGTTGATTGACAGTTGAGAGGCGGGACCAAAGAGCCAATGCTCAACTCCCGCAAGCACAAATAGGTGAGTACACCCTTCGAAAGCATAATTTGCACAAATAATGGCGGGGAAAACAAGGGAAATAAAGATTATTTTGGGGGGGTTAGACTTTTCCTATGTTATATATAATTTAGTTATTAGTTATCATTATAAACCTGATATTAAGTATCTTATGCCTGAAAAGGTCTCTGAGAAGGGGTGTGTCATCGCCTCAGCGCATGAACGGCTTTGCAAATTTATATTATCCTTCAAAGTAGTTTGTAATCGAACAAATACACCTAATCTACGCTATCTAAAAGGGTTGTTTATAGTGTATACAGTATGTTAAAATTACGGAACATGACAGCTTGATAAAGATGGCTGCAAACTTTATCCAAGTACGACACACTCACAAAATTTATTCAATCCAGACAACGTACTTTAAACTGTTAAAAAAAAAATGTTCATCACTCTCATTGTTGTTTTGGTGACATCAGGAATCTTACAAAAATAAAACTCGCTTCTAAAGTCTCTCACATAGACGTTTCGTTCAAACTTCTAGCAGAAAAGTACAATTCTACGTCGGTGGATGCAAGCAGTTCTTGCAGAAACAGCTGTATATGTAATTGCCCTTCCTCAACAAAAACCCCCCTTCTATCTCTGTTGCAAAGGGTAGCGCAAGACTATATATGTATATCCAATGGTATGAGGCCTCTTGGATTGTGCAACTTTCTGTTTAACGATGTGGATAACGAGCACCACATTGCTTGTCTAATTGTAGAATGCACTTCTTGAGTCGAGAATTTAAAACATGATAACTAGCACTCTCTCTCTCTCTCTCTCTCTCTCTCTCTCTCTCTCTCTCTCTCTCTCTCTCTCTCTCTCTCTCTCTCTCTCTCTCTCTCTCTCTCTCTCTCTCTCTCCCTCCCTCCCTCCTTATCTTTCGACTCCCTTCTTCAAAACTTATAAAAGAGCTTTAATAAGATTACCACCAGTCTGAGTGGAGACAGAAAACACATGCCTCACATACAAGGGAACTCGAGCAGAAAACTAATGACGGAGGAGCAGTAAGTCATGGAAGATGTTCTTTTAGATAGCGATGACAAGACGCAGGAGATGCCGGCTGCCCTGTGAACCTCAGCTGAGGGGGGAGGGGGAGGAGAGAGAGAGAGAGATGAGAGAGGAGAGAGAGAGAGAGAGAGAGAGGAGAGAGAGGAGAGAGAGAAGAGAGAGAGAGAGAGAGAGAGAGAGAGAGAGAGAGACTCTGATCCACTTCAGTATGGTGTATGTAGTTCTGTATGTGGGTGTGGGGGGAGGTGGTTGTGTTGTGGGGGGGTTTGGGTAGGGGTGTGCGAGTGTGTGTGTGTGGGTGCGTTGTGTGGGGCAAAAGTGGTCTAGAGATAAAGAAGGTGTTACTTCGCACTCTGGTATCACAAAAGAAGCACATAAATTGTCTCTCTTAATATCCATCAGCGTCTAAGAGGCGTTGTGGGTTGTGTTTACACCAAGCAAGTCGCTTTCCCTTGAAGATAGTTGCAAGAGGGCGAGAGTGTGGATGGTAGGTGGTAGTGGTAGTGAGGGAGAGAGAGGGAATGGATGGTTGATGATGACTGAGGATGGTGGGGGATGGTGTAAGATGGATGGTAGGTGATGATTATAGCATGAGTATCTGTACAATAAATTCTGGTGGTTTTGAAGATAGGTTGATAGGAAATATCACAGAGAAAAGTAAAGAGAAAATATTGAAACTCCAAGATGTGTTCGAACCCACGAGGACCTCCCTGAACTTCTCGAGGTGTAAAATCACGGTCTTGTGGTCTCACAGAAATCTACCTTTCTACTTACGACCATTCTCAACAATATATATATTCAAGATTTTTAGTTTTAAATAAATTTATCATGGCTTCAAATAAATTTCTCAAGCCTCTGTCCAAGTATTATGAGGAAGTGTTGTACATAGCTGGCTCACAATAGTCTCACTGCTTAGACTATATCTGTAGACAGGATGATATGTTGCTAAATAAAATAATCCAAGTATAGGGTTGGTATTTATTAAACAATGCAGACGAGGAGTCACAATAACGTGGCTGAAATAAGTTGACCAAACCACACACACGAGAAAGTGAAGAAACGTTTCGGTCCGTCCTTGACCATTCTCAAGTAGATTTTTGACTTGAGAATTGAAAAATCGACATGAGAATGGTCCAGAATGGGCCGAAACGTCGTCGTCCCTTCACTTTCTAGTGTATGGCTTGGTCAACATATTAAACAATATCTACATATAGGAATAATATTAAATTTGCATGATATAAAGGATTATAATCATAAACAATGGAACCATTGTTTATTTGTATTTATTATTTTTGAGTGTGAGATTTCTATTCTTGACAAGATACATTTGTTTCTTCGCTAAATCTATAGTTTCTGTCTTTTAGTAGAGTCTCTTAAGGAGTCCTGAACGTGACACTATTACAATGCCTCTAACGCCAGGTAGCACTAATAGAGCATTTAGTAACGCCAGGTAGCACTAATAGAGCATTTAGTAACGCCAGATAGCACTAATAGAGCATTTAGTAACGCCAGATAGCACTAATAGAGCATTTAGTAACACCAGACAGCACTAATAGAGCATTTAGTAACACCAGGTTGCACTAATAGAACATTTAGTAACGCCAGATAGCACTAATAGAGCATTTAGTAACACCAGGTAGCACTAATAGAGCACCGAGTAACACCAGGTAGCACTAATAGAGCACCGAGTAACACCAGGTAGCACTAATAGAGCACCGAGTAACACCAGGTAGCACTAATAGAGCACCGAGTAACACCAGGTAGCACTAATAGAGCACCGAGTAACACCAGGTAGCACTAATAGAGCACCGAGTACCACCAGGTAGCACTAATAGAGCACCGAGTAACACCAGGTAGCACTAATAGAGCACCGAGTAACACCAGGTAGTACTAATAGAGCACCGAGTAACACCAGGTAGCACTAATAGAACACCGAGTAACACCAGGTAGCTCTAATAGAGCACCGAGTAACACCAGGTAGCACTAATAGAGCACCGAGTAACACCAGGTAGCACTAATAGAGCACCAAGTAACACCAGGTAGCACTAATAGAGCACCGAGTAACACCAGGTGCACTATAGAGACACGAGTAACACCAGTAGCACTAATAGAGCACCGAGTAACACCAGGTAGCACTAATAGAGCACCGAGTACACCAGGTAGCACTAATAGAGCACCGAGTAACACCAGGTAGCACTAATAGAGCATTTAGTAACGCCAGATAGCACTAATAGAGCATTTAGTAACACCAGGTAGCACTAATAGAACACCGAGTAACACCAGGTAGCACTAATAGAGCATTTAGTAACGCCAGATAGCACTAATAGAGCATTTAGTAACACCAGGTAGCACTAATAGAACACCGAGTAACACCAGTTCATTCGTGACCTCCCATATTGTTACTACGGCAACCAACACACCAGAGGCTGCTTCAGGGATACCCAGCAATATATATGAAAACGTTCATCATACTGTGTTCCCTTCTTAATAAAACATTATGTTCATGACCGCATATCGTAGTACCTGTGGGAAATTTTTACCCAATATATCTATATTATTATCTAAGAAATGTGTTATTTCTATATCATATCAAAATCATATCAAAATCATTTCAGAATCATATCAGAATCACTATAGATTCATTATACATCTTGATCCTAAATGCCCCACAGTACCAAGTGATGCATAACAATGCAAATATTTTGACCATTGACCAGAAAATATAATCGTTGCCCAATACGGTCCCTATAGGCAGTATGTTTACTCACAGGATGAGTGACGCTGCCTAATACTCTCATGATGGCGGTATGTTCACTCACAGGATGAGTGACGCTGCCTAATACTCTCATGATGGCGGTATGTTCACTCACAGGATGAGTGACGCTGCCTAATACTTTCATGATGGCGGTATGTTCACTCACAGGATGAGTGACGCTGCCTAATACTCTCATGATGGCGGTATGTTCACTCACAGGATGAGTGACGCTGCCTAATACTTTCATGATGGCGGTATGTTCACTCACAGGATGAGTGGCGCTGCCCAATACTCTCATTATGGCGGTATGTTCACTCACAGGATGAGTGACGCTGCCCAATACTCTCATTATGGCGGTATGTTCACACACAGGATGAGTGACGCTGCCTAATACTCTCATGATGACAGTATGTTCACTCACAGGATGAGTGACGCTGCCTAATACTCTCATGATGGCGGTATGTTCACTCACAGGATGAGTGACGCTGCCTAATACTCTCATGATGGCGGTATGTTCACTCACAGGATGAGTGGCGCTGCCCAATACTCTCATTATGGCGGTATGTTCACACACAGGATGAGTGACGCTGCCTAATACTCTCATGATGACAGTATTTTCACTCACAGGATGAGTGACGCTGCCCAATACTCTCATGATGGCAGTATGTTCACTCACAGGATGAGTGACGCTGCCCAATACTCTCATTATGGCGGTATGTTCACACACAGGATGAGTGACGCTGCCTAATACTCTCATGATGGCAGTATGTTCACTCACAGGATGAGTGACGCTGCCCAATACTCTCATGATGGCGGTATGTTCACTCACAGGATGAGTGACGCTGCCCAAAACTCTCATGATGGCAGTATGTTCACTCACAGGATGAGTGACGCTGCCCAATACTCTCATGATGGCGGTATGTTCACTCACAGGATGAGTGACGCTGCCCAATACTCTTTTCATGGCGCTACATACCACTCACAGTGACATTGCC